GCATTGAGTACATTCCCACGGTGAGAACGAATTCTCCCGTGACGCGTTGCGGCTTCCATTGCGAGAGTTGCTCCCACTTCCGTACCCTCCATTCGAGTAGTTGTACGTGAAGGAGCTGTTACGAGAGCCGGAGCTTCCGGTGGTGCGTGTGGCTGAGCTCACGACATTCTCCTGCTGCTTCGGGAGCTTGGAAGGGTCCAGACGGTTTGGTAGACGCCGGAAAGACATTCCATCGACGATCAAGTCTACAGTCAAGCACAATAATATACTTGTCAATAGCTACCAACAAATGTCACTTTGAGGAGCGCTCTCGTCACTCACCATACATATCGTTGAGGTCCACCGATGGCTTGATGATAATGTGGACGCAGTGTCCTCCAGGAAGGTTGAACACGTAGTCCCAGTCGCCGAACGAGAGCTGCAATATACGTAGAATGGTAAAAATACGAAAACCATACACCTCTACTAATGACAAAAAGTTACCGATTGCGAAGTGTACTTGACGATACCGTCAACACGCAGCACCTTCTTGCCCGACGCTAGAGAATGCGTGAGAGCGATCTCGAACTCACGTCCCTCCTCGACTTTGAGACGCCAAACCACGCGCTTCTTGGAGCTCTCGATGGTTTTCCCCACGTTCGACACTTCAAAGTAGAGCGCAGCGGCTCTGGCGTTCGTGGCCTTGACAGCTCCCCATTGACTTTGCCACGACATGGTCCACAAGCCCCTGGAAGACGCAAACGCTTGAGCGTGTGCTGGGACTTTCGAAACTCTGCAGAAGGCGGTCGATGCCTTCCCAAGGACGCCACTAAGCGGCCAAGGATAGCTGGGTCGTTACATGTCCACTACACCATTGAGAGGCTTGTGCTCTTCCTGGTCTGAAACGCCCCCTACTGGCACTTGAACCAGCATTTGTGTATTTTACTTTAGGACAAGCTGAGGAGGAGCTTTAGTACTGAAAATGGCTACGTCGGTCCGCATAGACATCGGAAGGAGGTTTTCTGGAACAAACAATTGTGGTTGACTGGATGTTCCGAGTCGAGTTCCCACCCGTTCGTGTAGTTGCCTTTGTAGAAGCAGTTGGGTCCATTGCAGTAGCAGCGGAAGTTGCGGAAGTGACAGTCCGCATCCGTTGAGCAGCCGTCTAAATGGTACGTCAAGGGATCGTCATCTTTCCCTTTCCCACGAGTCACTGGGAACTCGAACTTTGCGTGTACGGGGTAGTGGTCGGACAGATCGACTAGCGCCATCTTCATGTTGCTTTGCGGAGCTGTCCAGTCGACGGTGAAATGTGTGACTTGGTTTACGTGCGCTTCGAGTGTAGGCACGGTACTTGGTTGTTGATAAGGAGCTGTAGGCCAGAGAATTGTGTTAATATTCAAAGCTACTTGTTTCTTGTCGGAAGACGGTTGTACCTTTGCCGTAAAGAACGTAGTCGAGCCACTCCAATGGGCAGCACGGGCAGTAGCACATTGTGTCTGGCTCGAGGAAGAGAAGCCACGTCGACTCGTTGATCTCACTGTGCATCCCACAGGTTGTTCGGGTGAGAAGTGACGGGTGAAAGACCCCATCCTGCTCAAAGATATGTCCAGCAAATGATGAGTGACATCGTCAGCGTAGGAAGAAGAACTGCAGCAACGAACCTTCGGTGGGCCCCAGTTCGTAACATACTGCGCAGAACACTTGTTGCTGATCGCAGCTCCGTCGCGTCCAACCAGCACGTTCGTGTGCGGACTGCAGCAAAAACAGTATTTTGTCATTGGGTGATCTCGCAGTAGTAAAAAAAAAAACAAGTAAAGTATCACTCACTCGCTGGTGAAATACTGTTTGCCTATCTGACGAGGCTCGTGGGCTCCGAGCAGCTCCACCAAGTGCGCCACTTCGTCTCCGAACGTGTGGTTGTCCACATTGAAGTCCCCTGCAAAGATCAACGGCTTCATACGGCAGCAGTCAGCGCATCAGTTAAGAAAATTTTTGAGACGTCGGAGCTCCGAGTCACCTCGTGATGCGGGATGTCAATCGCGTCGATGAATCGGCGCATCTGACAGTCAATTTTCACAACAAAAGTTAACTTTCAAGCGCTCTTAAGTATGCACAACATGTACCAAAGTCACCTGCTTCGCTTGCTGGATCCGATCCGAGCGACCTTCGGGTGTCGACCACGCCTCCAACGTCACCGCAAACCAGCTCAGAGCTCCACCCAACCTCTCCAATCCCCCCCAAAGCACGCTCGTACCTGCATGTGTGTGGCAAACACATTGAAGATTTTGGATGCTCCGTCGACTGTTTTCAGCAGCCTCGCGTACTTGACTCCTTTGGCAGCCAGACAGTCGGAATAGTGACAAGCATTGCGATACACATGCTGCGCCTCTCGAATGATTGGCCACTTGGACACGACCATCACTCCTCCATTTAATAGACTCGTGAACGGGTCTGGGTCGTGTAGAATCGTCGTGGAATAGTTGAATCCAAAGACCCGGAACTGGTCCAGCATCGCATCTCGTTGCGTGCGAATGTCTGCTTCAGCAAACGTCACGACGTCGATGGCCTCGGAAATCCGATGCAGCGACTCGGGCACTCGCTGCAGTCGCTCGCTCTGTCCGTCCTTGGAGACTTCGTACGGTCTGCCGAAGAGATTGTACTGGCCGAGAGCAGTTAGTTAGATAAAGAACTGACTGTGAACTGATCAAATGATACCTGGAGCACTTCAAACGTCATGCGGTCGACAGCTGTGGAGGCTGCATAATGGAGAAATGGGGCGTCGTACTCCCATACGTTAACACTAATGTTCTTCGCATTGACGTCCAAGTGTCCGAGGGCTCCACAGAGCACGAGACACAACGTGAAGATCACCGCCATGGCGACAAACTACTACACGCTCGATACCCGCCCTCTATTGAAGTGCAAGGCATGTTGGTGCTCAAGTAATGTGGTTTAATGTTCGAGTAGGTACGATTATAGATAACTTCACTGTCAGCTTGTTGCAATTTTATATTACCGCGCTACACGCAAAAATGCAAATAATGCTGACGCCGCTTACTCGAAGTCGCAGGACACGCGGATGGTGCCAGCCTTGACCGCGTCGGGCGGGAGGTTGGCCATGTCATCGCCAGCAGACACGAGCGAGTTGATCGACAGCGAACGCGACGACGTGGCCGAGCCCGCCACCTCCACCTTCACAGTCAGATACCCCACCAGCTTGCCCGATTGGTCCATCAGCACCATCTCTTCCGTCGATGCCGGTAAGTTAATCCTCGTCGCGTCGATCTCCAGCGTCGCAGATCCCAGACGCGTGTCCACGAGCATACTCTTGTCCTTGAGATACACGACCAATCTCGAGTCCGCGCCACTTCGATGCAGCTCCTTGGCAGTCAGCGGGAACGTGAAACTCTCGCCCCACGACGCGTTGCCGAACTGCTCCTTCTTCTTCTTGACGAACGACATCTTGGTGAGGTTCGTCCGGTTCGCGTTCTTGCCCACGTGCACCGAAATGTACGGCGAGATGTTGGGTGTGCTGCTTCCCAAGTTGCCCAACCCGAGCACTCCGCTGCCAGTTGAGCTGGTTACCACCATGTCTCGAAGCGACAGAATCGTCACGAGCACTTGGTGCCTCTCGTCGCCGAAAGAAGCTGCGTGGTTCGCCTTCTTCGAGCTGTTCTTCTTGAGCATCACGAGCGGGTAATCCTTCTCTGTAATCACGTGGCTCACATTCTTCTTCGTGTTCCCAGGCTTGACTTGCGTGTGGACCCATTGGGCCAAATCGGACGCGTACTCGGGCGGTTTGAAATCCTCTTGAAGCTTCGCCATACTCAAAATGCACTTGCCGACGGTCTTAGCCACTGTTCCACCGTACGAATCCTTCACCACGAACTGCACTTCACTCTCCTCGCCCGTCAGCGCTACTTGCGTCTTCTCTTGCCACACAGGGTTCACAGTGTTGTAGATGACAGCAGTCCTCATCACATCCACGCCGTCGATACGCACAACACACAGCGGATCGCACGACTTGTCCGAGTCCAGACCGTTCGCGCCCAACACCTCCAGCTCCAAGCGCGTAGGCTTGTAGTGCTCCTCGTCAAACTCCGCAATCAGTTTGCCATCCTCCACAAGTTTCGGTTTGCGACGGCGGCCGCCGAACGGAGAGCGATCCACAACAGTCGACTGCACACCCAACGCCAAGTTGTGAGACGTCGACGTTAGACCCTTAAGCAGGACGACACCGGGGCCAGCGATACCCTGCACCGTTCCCTGCACGAGTCCAGTGACGCCTCCCTTGATCGCGCCTTCAACCGGCTTCGTGAAAATACCCGTGAAGCCGCGACCGAGATCCTTCGCAAACTTAATTCCAGCATTATCATTCGAGTCCTCACCCACCGGGCCAGGCTTGTCATCGGAAAACTCGCCCACGAACTTGTCCAGCGACCCCGTGATCTTGGCGACTGAGGAAGCACCTGACTTGACTATCGTCTTACCTAGCACCTTCACGCCTTCGCCACGAGTCTGCGCATCGCCAGTCAACTCTCCCTTCGTGATCTTCAAGAACTCCACCACACCAGAACCCAAGTCTTCCACTAGACCAATCGGATTGCCAATGATATCTGCGCTGCCGACAAGACGGTAAGCCTGCATGACGCCTTGCTGGACGTAGTTCGCAACCAGTTGACTCTGCAGTCTCTGCTTCGTCGAGAAACAACGTACAATGACGATCTCGCTGAAGCTGAAAGTCGGTGAGCCACTGAGGTTTGACCCGATGAGTCCGATGATCTGGCTGAGGAAGCCGAAGATCACCGAGTGGCCTCCGCCCGTAGACGAAACGATATCCTTGCGAGTGATCGAGTATTCCAGATCCACGGACAGCGACGAAATACGCAGAATGTCGAAGTACACGAGGTCCGTCTGGATGCCACCGTCCTCCGTCACCAACATCACAGGCATCGGAGGGGCACGACGGTGCAGCGTACTCTCGAGCGTCAGTCGCGAGCGATACGCCATGGTGGCGTCAGACACCAAGTACGGCTCCAGCAGCTTGACGAGGTTCACCAAGTAATCGATATCCACCTTCACCGCCAGGTCACTCAAGCTGAACTCAAGCAGCTTGTACGCTCCCATACGAGCCTCGAGATCGGCATCAAGCACCAGCTTCAAGAACGGTTCCGGTTCTTTACCCACCGACTTGTCACTGTAGCCTGCATTCACAGGGTTCATGATTACAGGGAACTTAGCAGTCGCCAGCATGTTGTCCACTTGGCAATGCAGCACCGAGAAGGTCCATTCTAGTGAAGCAGGAGCCTTCTGGAGCTTAATAACATCCACGGACGAGAAGAACACTTCCTGTGGGAAGCCATCCAGCAAGGAAAAGCCAAATCCATCGAACGCGATGTCGAAAGACGACGCGAACAACATTCGTCGGTGCTGGACGTCCCCCTCTCCCTCCGAGTCCTGGCTTTTCAGCAGACTGAGCTCCAACTCCTTCTCCGCGATCTTCAGCACACGCGTATTCTCTTCTACGACGACTTGGACGGTCAGCTCAACGGGATGCTGCTTCTCGCCATCACGTGACACCCACATGGTAATGGGATCCAGGTAGCCGACATAGTCGATGTCATACTTCTTGGTCTGCGTCTTGGAAGCATCCAAATGGGACAGACGGAGCTCCACGTGACGCTCTTTAGACAGCGGGTTGAACCACGCGAACGCGTGCCATGCTCCAGACTTGATAGTGGCCGCCATCTCCTTCTGTCCGCTGCTGAAGATAGACGACTCGCCCAACTGTGCGCAGTCCACGGTAAAGGGCGTGTAGTTCTCAATACGATACGGAGGGGCGCACGACACATCCGTCAACACCACGTACACGTACATGTCGACCACCTGCACACTTGCTTGGCAAATGAGGTATCGCTGGCGCACAGACGAGTAGACCTGCAAGTAGAGATCCCCGGCCGTGTTGATCGGGATAGCGAACGACCAGTTCTTCTTGTCCGCGTCAGTGCCCCAGTCCTCCGAGAACGAAAAAGACACGTAGCGTTGGCTCTGCTCCGCAGACTCGCCCTTCTTCAACGAGCCAAAGTGATACAGAGGTGTAGTCTGGCCGTCCTCCAGCGCTAGATGGAGCTGCTTGACATCCTCCACGCTTCGCTTGTGGAACAAGTCGTCGACCTTGTGCGGATCGTTATCGTGCGACGCGAAGCTCTGGATGTAAAGCTTCTGGTTCAAGCGGTTCTGCACGAAATACCGCGGACTCAACGTGAGCGACACTCCAGGCTCGAACAGGCCGTACAGACCTTCCATCTTGACGCTGAAGACGCTCGGGCCGCATACGATCTCTCCCATCGTGTTGATGGCAGTCGTGTTAACCGGTTCAGACCACTGAGCGTTCTTGATTGCATGTTCAGCCACGGAAGAAGCCTTGTAGGCTGTCTGCGGCATATTCCCCATATCCCCCCACGCCTCCGGGCGACGATTGAGGTTCGCACGAGGCTTCAAACTCAGACGATCGTGACGCAGAGACGTCATGATCGGGTAGCTGAACGGTGCACAAACATTCATAGGCTTGAAGGAAGATTTCTTGGCGCCCTGTTCGGTAGACGCAAAGTCGAACGCGAGCGAGGTGTTGTCCACAATCCAGTACGGACTCGAGAAGCGGACGAGGCGAGGGTAATTCGGGAGCGTGATGCGGTCGATGTTGAACTTGAGACCAGTGTCCGCTTCCACATTCTCTCGAGACGTCGTGAACTGCTCCACGCTCTTGTGAATCATCATCAGAAGCGGCTTGGACCACGGAGACGCAACGTGCTTGCCCGTACTGTGCTTCTTGGCGACAAGTCGAACCGACAGATAACCCGGATACCCTCCAGACACACCCGACACTTCAGTGTCGTGGCCTGATTCCACCACTCCAGCCAGTACTCCATCCGACACCTCAAGCGCACTCTCACGTCGCAGTAGCGCTTCAACTTTCGCATACTCCGTCTTCATGTCCTGCAAAGAGCTCGTCTTGTACTCGATGAAGCGGTATTCCATCTCGTACGGCAGCGAGTTACGCACCACGAACGGAGGCAACAGAGCCAATTCCCACTCGAAATGTGAGCGCAAGTGCCAGCGACGTACAATCATGTTCGGCGTCAGACTCTTGATGACCTTCGTGCACGTTTCTTCGGTCTCGCCATAGACGATGGTTCCACCTCGACGCTGCTTCTTCTTAATTTCGCGTTCAGCATCGTGTGCCTCGAGCTCTTTGATCGCCTCTGTCGAGGTTAACACGTCGTTGTTCAGCGAAGTCTTCACGATCCAGTGCTCGTAGTTTTCAGGCCGAGCGTAGAACTCCGTGATCCCCATGAGCAGCGAGAGCGGGAGCGAGATTCGCTCGTTCGGTCGCAGCTTGATAACAGGAGACTCCACAGCCTTCCTGCCTTCGCTCGCAAGACACAGATACTTGACTTCGTAGCACTCGAAGCTGTGGTTGCAGAAGTACGTGTTGGATCTCAGCACAATCAGCTGTCGACGTGGGTTCTCCAGTCGCGAGAACAGAGTGACAAACAGCGTAGAAGGCGACGCCTCAGCATTGCTCACCCCCACGCTGACATCGCCAAAAGCTGGCAGCTTCACCGCGGTGTTGCTGGGGCCCCACTGATCGATTTCAAGCGAGTCCAGCGTTGCCACGCCCTCCTTGAGAGCTCCATGTTCAATGTGTGCGCGGTCGTGTGGTTCGACCACGACTTCTTTGTCGCTTCCGTTCAGCTTCAAGGTGATCTTGCATCCCGTAAAGTTCTGCACGAGACAGTCCGTTTCTTTGTGCTTCTTCGCGGCGGCAGTGCTTTGCAAGCTGTCCTGGTGCTTCAGCAGACCATTCTGCTGCGCTTCACCGTCAAGTGCGTCCATGAGAGCACGGTATGTCTTTAGAACACTAGGCGTCACATTGATCTGGAAGCGCTTGGCAGCCTCCATCAACACGGAGAAGCCGTTCTCGCCAGCACCAGAAGAGACACCAGCAACTAAATCCCACGGCTCAATGATATTCTCCATGTCGTTCGCAATGTCGCTGTAACAGGACGACGACATCTTGAAGCCAAACAGGATCGTCCAGTCAGAATTGCCAGAAGTAGCCAACCCGATCCAATCCACTGGTCCAATCTCGTCGATCTCCTTGCCAGTCAACTCCATCGACATCTTGACGTCCTTGATGACGAAATCGCCGCGACAGAAACGAGCAGGCAGAGCCGCGTCCGTGAGAACAAACCGCAGGTTGCCCATCTTGACATCCGTTGTGAACTGCAGCGCCTTCTTCACTGGGTTTGCTTCCTGTGTGAGCTTACTCACCAGCTGCTCGGCCTCCTCCAAAGCTGCAGTGAAGATTCCGTCCCGTTTCTTCTTGGCGATCACCTTCGCTGCACTTTGGTACTCACTGATGCCTCCACAGCGCGTAAACGGCTGCAGCAGCCACTCGCACATAACGTGCTTTGTGCCGTTGCCTTCCAAAGCAGGCAGCACCAAGGCATCCCAGATCAAGTTAGCCGCATCATAATTCTTCAATAGACGCACCAGCTTCTTCTGTACATCCAGCGGGTTCTGGTCGCCCAGAGATCGATTCGTGACACGAGCCTCGCCCTCAAACAGCTGCCAGAATCGACCTTCGAACGCAGGACGCTTGATCCACTCTGCAAGCAGCTCAGATGAAGTTATCTTCGTATCACACAGCTTGTTGATCACTTCGAACGAATGGTACTCGTTGCCACGCAGGTTGAGGAAGCCATTGAGCGCATTGCTGCCGTTCGCCGACCTTGAATCGGCAGCTGCAGCAGCCTCGTCCGACAATAAATCATCACGCAAGAATGCTCGCAGCTCTTGGAACTCCAAGAATCCATTGCCGTCCTGGTCAATCTCCTTGAACAGCTCACGAACAAAGTGCTCCAGCTCACTTTCCAGTAGAGTGTCTCCAACCTTCACACGGCGCAACAGGAGCAGCAGCTCGGCCAACTCGATGCGTCCGTTTCCGTTTTCATCGATTTCGTTGAAAAGACGGTGGAGGCGGTCGAGAACTGCGTCAACTTCAGCTTGACGGCGAATCTCGTCTTGCTTCATACGACTCTCAAAGCGCAGTCGAGCCTGGTCGGGCGTTGTCGTCTGCACATTCCCGAGAGCCTCACCGCACGACGCCAACAGCGACAAGCTGAGGTCTGACCCTGCAACCAAGACATCTGGCATGTGCATCATCACACTCTGGTGGCACGTCAAGGCGTCCTTCGTATCTTGAGCGAGCGTGAACTGGAACACAAGAGCTGTAGGGGCCAGGATGGATTCCACCTCCTTGGCTCCTTCGACATATTGAGCTCCGATACTGAAGCTGCGCACGTTGAACTCCAACATCTCCTTCACCTTGGAGCTTTCGAGATGAATGCTCAACGTAGCAGGCATGTCCACGCGACAGTCCACGACATACTCACTTTGCCACGTCTCCACGTTGATATCCGTGAAGAGAGACTTCGAGAACGATTGCGTAGGTAGCAGCAGGATGTGACAGTCGTTCATGTTCACATCCAGATTCAACAGCATACCGCCAAGCAGACTGAACGGAGACATCGACACCTCCTTGACCACTGTATCCACTTCGCTCTTAGCAACTTGCACCGGTGCAGGCGACGACTCGGAGTGAGCAATTGGCGTCGTCGGTGGACGTGACGTCGACAGAACTTGAGTTGTCTTCGTACTCAGTCGGTCCACGTACAGCAGGAAATGCTCCAGCGCATCCGCAGACACCACCAGCTTGACATTGTTCACAGCAGCACGTACGTCCTGTTTGCCGCTTTCGAATTGACTCACATGCGCCGTGAGCATCTGTGGAGGTGCTAGTACATCCGACTCTGCAACGATCTTGCTAAAGTCCGCAAACAACAGCTTGGCCGTCGCGGAAACAGGGTTCAGGACCGACGTTCCAACGTTCACAGCGAATGTTGTCTGACCCAGCACCAGATCCACGTCGAGTTTCTGCTTCTCGTCGCCTTCTGCCACCGTATACACGCGCACATTGACGCCGAAGCCGATCACTACCATCTCAGCGACCTGGCGACCACGTTCGACGAAGACAATACTCATGTTCTCCCAGCGTAGCGCGATCTCTATGGCTCGGAACAAGATGTTGCTCGGCTTGGCAGCGTTCTCCTGCACAATCGCAGTGTGGTCCGCCAGAGAGAGCTCTTTCTGGTTGCGACGGTAGTATTTGGCCAATCCAGTCGATCGACTGCGCAGCTTGAGGATCTTGTTCAGTGTCATCGACTTTTCCAGTTTCTGCAGCTTTTCATTGCGATCTTTCTTCTCCTGGGCCGACAGCGACTTGCTATTGTCCACCTGGTCGTAGTTGGCCACGTAAAACTCTTCATCTTCCTTGGAAATCGGCTTACGGACAGTCTCGTCGTGTTCCAGAGTGCGCACCGATTGAACTAGAACCTGGTGGTCTGTGTACGGCACAAACAGGTCGCGCAGCACTCCAACCAACAGCTCACGGGTGACTGAAATGCTGTTGATTGAGGACGACGCAAGTTCCACTTGGGCCAGACGGTTCTTCATTGGAATAGGAGCAACATGCTCCACAATCCCCAACAATCTCGGCATGGGTGGCACCTTCAGCTTCAAGTCGAGGCCAGGGAAAGAGAGCAGAGGCGTCTCACCTGGGCCAACGCCCCCACTGTCCTTCAGCGGGTCCTGATTCCTCTCCACTGCCAAATTGTCGTCCTCTCCTTCATCGACAGTAGCAGCGCAGATGTTCATGCCCTTGATACTGATTGCATACTCCACGAGGATCTCTTCGGACGTCAGAACGAGCTGCAAAGCATCCGCACTGTTCTCATGCAATACATCCGTCAACAGGTCGAACGATTTCAACGAGAGGCTCACACGCGTGGGCTTGAGCACGACAGGAAGGGAGCTGGAAGTGGCCACTTCTGCGTCTTCGTCGTCCTTCTCTTCAACTTCGTCGTCGTGGCCGTCGATAGCAGCAGCTCCAGGCGTCAGACCCGTGATGGCCACTCTCACATCGCTCACATGGACGTCCACTTGGGCCGCGATCTGCTGTAGAACGCGGTCCTTGAAAGAGAACGTCTTTGACGGGTTAATTGCCAGCTCCTCCGCCTGTTTCTGCCTCAATTCCGACGTGGTGCGTTCAGTTAGCAGTAGATTCATCCAATAGGCCGCCTCCGCCAGCTTCATGGCCGCAGCGTCCTGCAGCTCAAAAACTCCCTCGACGTTGGGGTCGACCATGCGGCCATCGACAGCCACGCCCTCCACTTTGACCACCACCTTCCACGTCGTAGCCAGATGGATAGTGATCTTCTTTATGCTCACACTCTTCAGATCCACTGGGGCCAAGCCCTGCTTGGTGAAGGCCAGCGTCTTGAGGAACTCGCTCTGTAGCTTCACGAAGAAGAGCGAGATGGTGATGCCGCGTAGCGCCTCTGAGGCCGCGCCGACGCCACGTCGGGCACGCACCGCGAAGGAGCCGAATTCATACTCGACCTGGATGCTATCGGTCAAATAGGCGGCCGCGAACTTGTGAATGAGCCCCGAGAGCAACGGGAAGATCGTGTAACGCGCCAGCACCGGTACTACGCACAGCGAGAGCGACACGCAGACGCTCACTATCGCCACCGCCAGCATCCCGAGCATGCTGGGCGAGCGGTTCGCGAGAAACAGCAGCAGCTTGGTTAGCAAGAACGTCCGGGGGGGACGGACCAACACTCCTGATGCGCACTTGGTGGCTTCTCCGGAAATGAGGCGCACAGGATACGAATTAAAGTTTTAATTTGGTTGCTGTATGCCCTCGGTTGTAGAACAAGATATGATTCAGTGTCAGCTACACTTAGTGTTTTCTGTATAAAGTCAATAACCAAAGGTTTGACTTGGTTTGATACGAACAAAAGATCGCAACCAGGTGGTCCACTTGAGACGCACCTGATTTGTGGCTACATTTTTGAGCCGAAGGTGTTGAAAAGCTTCGGCAGCCATCATGCTCCGCAGCCTCCAAGTGCCCGAGCTTCCGCGCAAGTTGCTCACACTAGCGTTCATTGTGCGCGATGGCGTGGGGTCTAAGCAGGTGTTGCTGGGTATGAAGAAGCGCGGCTTTGGTATGGGCAAGTGGAATGGCTTCGGCGGTAAAGTGGAGACTGCAGACGCCAGCATTGCGGCCGCCGCGGCGAGAGAAGTAGAAGAGGAGGCCAACGTGGTTGTCGAAGTGGAGACTCTGCAGCCACGCGGTGTGCTGCTCTTCTCATTCGAAGAAGCCAAGGAGCTCATGAAGGTGCACGTGTTCTTGACGCAGCAGTTCTCGGGCGAACCATCCGAGAGCGACGAGATGAAGCCGCAGTGGTACGACGTTACAGAGATCCCGTTCGAGAGCATGTGGGCGGACGACCACTACTGGCTGCCACATGTACTCAGCGGCAAGAGCGTTCAAGGACATTTCCACTTCGCCGCAGACGAGGACACTCTGCTGGATCATAAGCTCGAAGTGTCGCCTGGAACGGAGGTCGGACATAGAGACAAGAAGTGAAAGCTACACTCGTTCCGTTAATTGTCTAGCCTTCTAAGGTGCAGCCTAGTCTTCGCATTTGATATGACACGGCTCCTGCTCATCAGTTCGTCGGGCGCGTGGCGATCCAGTACAGCGAGTTGGTGCGCGAGCTGCCGTCGTCGAAGAACGTCATGTTCTGGACCTTTGTCCACGCGTCGGCAGGGTCGATGATAGCTAGGTCCAAGTATGCGTAGCCCTTCCAGCGGTCCTCGATCGGGTCTTGAGCGCGGCCGAACGCCTGCTGCTGCAGAATCGGGTACTCTTCCTGGACGTACGCAGGCTTGAGGAACGCGTCCGTGATCGGCGTGAACGGGATCATGTTGATCAGATGCATGTGCTCCACCTGCGGACCGAACCACGTCGTGTACGACACCTTCGTAGCAGCCACTTGCCCCGTCATCTTGTTGGCAGCATAGATCGGCTCGTAAATATCCGAGCTGGACGGCATCTGCCAGTAGGTCTGGGCGCCGCGGATCTCCAGAGCGAGCAGGAGATGACCCATGTGTTCCACTTCCGGGACGCTGAAGGACTTGCCCACCAGATACACGCCATAGTAGGCATTGATGGCTTCACTCACACTCTCCTGAGACTTGCCACCGTCCAACGTGTAGACGCCACTAGCGAACGAGTGGCTGTCGAACCAAGAAAAGTGGCGAGTGAACGGGAAGAACGTGCTGCGTCACAATAAAACGAAAAACACAAGCTCAGTATCAACGAGCGACAAGAGCGTGGCAGCAAAGTGGACACGTACTCGCTCTGGTCGGGACTTGCAATGTCACGCACAATCGACATCACAACGGCCTTGTGCGTTTTCACAAAGTCCGGACGGAACTTGCCCACGACACCGACGGCGTACAAGAAGTAGCCATAGTGGAAGTGCTGCATACCATACACACAGCGTGAGTCTATCAAGAGGGAACAACAAGAGATGCAGCACGTTGCTGCCTACGTACGTGGTCGTTGTACCATCCGTTGCCAAAGTCTGTCATCCAGAAGACGCCCTTCAGTCCGTTGAGAGAACACAAGCCGCCCCAGCTGCGGTCGTACACGAAGTGGTCGCTGTTCTGGCCCAGCATCCACGGGGTCAGCCACTCTTCCAGCTTGTCCAGCATGTCGTCACGAAGCTCCTTCGCGTCCAGCTTGTCCGCAATAAGAACCAATCGCGCTTGACGACCGATCTCCTTGCCAAAGTAGTACGGGTCGTCGGCCTCGGGCGTGTAGTTCGAGTCGTTGGCAAGCGCAACCTTGATCGCTTCCAGATACTGAGGCTGGATCGGCACGTCTTGTTCGTGGAAAGAAGCCGTCGGCAACGTCTCGTGCATCTCCCAGCAGCTACCCAGCACTGCCGTCATGTTCGACTTCAGCGTACGGTGTCCAAACTGTCCGAGCACTTGGAAAACATTGCTGTCAGTCTTGAACGTCGCTACGTGGTGCGGGTTCGCCATCATCAGCAGCTCTGCGGTCGACGTCGAGTTCAAATTCGGTTCTCCAAGATCAGGGAATCTCTTTGTCTTCCAGCAGAACGAGAACGAGGCATCGCTGTCTTTAACGTCCGTAGAGATGGAGGATCCCACTGGATAAATAGCTGCTGCCTTATCCAGAGCCTCGATGGCTGCGTGCGACGCTCCCTGAGGGACAACCGCCAAGCGAGCAGCGCCAGTGTAGAAATCCGTGTCCACCAGACGAATGTTGGTGGGGGTGGTGAGTTCTCCACGCCAGTTGTAGGGGCGGTAGTCCGTCTCGTTGGCGTATTGCAGCTGAAGTGTGCGCACCTTGTCAAAGTAGAGAACCCACTTCTGCTGGGACTTGCCCGTTCCATGCGCACTCTCGCCGGTGCCGTAGACCTCAATGTCGAGCTCGAAGCGGCTGCTCGTCCACGTCTGCAGCTCATTCCATGGAGCCAACGGGTCCTTCTGCTCCACTTGCTCGCCATTGATAGTGAACACTGTGGCATTGAACTCCAGAACGGGCAACACATTCTGGTATTCTACTGTGATGTAGGGAGAGCCACGCACCATTGGCACCTTCATCCACTTGTTGTCCTCTCCATAGTAATACTGCAGCAGCACCGAGAGCACGTCGAAGCCGACGATGTTTCTCGACGTGCTGTTACCGTCACCCAGTAGAGCGCTGCCAGTCTCGTTGCCGTGAAGTACCTTGTGACTGTAAGCAGTGAAGCTGGCGTCCACGTTGAAGTACTCGGTGATAGCGTCCTTGGTAGCCACGCGACGAGAGTCTCCGTACGAGATGTCCAGTCTCTTGGGTAGACTACGGACGGTGTAGGGGCTGAGTGTGACCTCACCGGCACCAGCATTGAGACCGTGGCTGTCGGCTACCATGAGGCTGGACCAGAACTCGTTGGTGGGCAACGAACGGCCGAAGTCATTGCGACGCACCAACTTGGGTGGGAGCGGGTGCAGCTTCTCCTCGAATGGCGGTCGCATGGTCAGCAGCTCTGAGTCGGTCAGCTCAACTTCAGCCGGCGCATTAGTCGCTGCCGGGGCGGAGTTGGACGCGGCTGAAGCTTTCTTGGAGCCGTTGCTGCCCACGAGGATGCAGATTGTCACGATAGCCACCAGCGCCAGCGGCACAATCACGTACAGCGCACGACGCAGTGGGGGACGGCCACTCTGCTGCTGGGCCGCGCGGCCTTGCAGCAGTGGCGAGCTCTCGTTCAAGGCCATTGCTTGCGTCAGCCAGCAAAATAAAGAATGATGCGATCTGATTCCCTTGCTGTTGTAGGTGTGCGATTACCCTGAGTTTGCACTTAGTAAAAACAAGATGTCTGCTTGGTACCACGTACCAGTACGTGGGTCCTTGTAGAAAGATACCGCACTGACCAATCACAGACCGCAAAAGATCTATCACCTTACCGGTATTGTGGTTTTCATCATTTTGCCGCCCAATTTGCTGTACCGGTATCATCGATTTAAATAGCAGGGTGTGGGGTAATTACTGTAGGCTCGAATTAGCTATATGTGACCCGACTTAAGGTAATTAGGCTCGAATTAGTTATATGTGACCCGACTTAAGGTCTTAATGATGAGGGCGATGTCATTCCTAGACGACCTTACCTCCCACAACTCACTTTAACTAATTAAGGAAGAGATAAACACTAAACGTATGCATACTGTAGCGCGATTGCCAAGTAAACTGGTGCTATGATCACCTATGGCGGTTGGACTATGCTTAATCACAGATTATTGGAGGTACCCATCGACATATCCGGCCCAAGATAGCAATCTTACCTTACCCCTACTTTCTATTTCGGAGGCGTTCAGCAAATCGGATCCGATTTAGTGGATCTCGGATCATCTGCTTTGCCAAAACGGATGAAAACCGTCTGAAGCATATTTTCGGTCAGTGCATACTTCTGGTCAGGCCAACGCTGTTCAAAATACAGTTTTTTAAACATCTCTAAAAGCATCTGTACCAGTAGTGAAAAGAAAGGAAAATACACAACCCTTTTCGGTGTTGTGATAGGGCTTAAAAGTAGACGTGAAGTAACATGCACAGTGAATACGCTACATGTATCTGTACGGGACGAGTCAAAAAGACGTCCCGTAGGGAAAAGACATTTATCCCCACGGAAACGGCTGGAGCCGTCGTTTCGCTTTAAAAGAAACACCCGCGCCGTGTTGCAGCCGTCGCACATCGGCTCGCACGCACACATCCCTCCTCCAGACACTATATACAAGCCCCTGTCATCTCGTATGTGATGTCCTTGGCCGTTTGCAGCGAGTATATCAAGCTATACTTGCTACATACTTCCTCTGGTCGGAAATGATCACGCGAAACCGACAAAATGACCAATCGCTTCAGCTCTATTTATCCAATACGGCATCTGATTGGACCAAACGGAAGCCCTGCACCTCCTCTTTTTAAAGCCACTTCTATAGCCTCTGCAATTTCAGTTTTAGCTCTCAAGGTTTCAAGCCTCGCCTGGAGTGCGACCCGCCACGCCTGCGCTACGCTGTTTCTTCCTCTATAAACATGCCGAAGTCCAACCTTATCGACAGCGAGCGCAAAAGCCGTCACTGAGCTTCTAAAGATCAGCAACAACAGAGAACTACCCCGTGAAGCGTTTGATGTTCTTATGAGCCGACTTCCGGACACCGTGAAGTTAATTGGAGCTGTACAGCTCTGCAATGACGGCTGGTGTCGTAGGGGTGAGTGACTTAACCGGCTTAAGAAGAACAGCGGCAGAAAGCGGAAGAATCGAGACGAAGTACGTGACAAACTGAAGAGCATTCCTATCGGGGATAGAGCAGTTGAAAGACGTGTCAGTTAGTATGATAGGTTTTTTCAAATTTCTATCGAGGATTGAACAGTTGAAAGACCTATCATACTAACTTCGCGTGATCATTTCCGACCAGAGGAAGTAGTATATAGTACAAAGAGCTAATGAGTTTTACTGTGATGTGGTGGTGCAGAGGTGCTTTGGATTAAGACATCATGCCGAACGCAACAGGCTGGACCGAAGAGGAGGACGTATAGCTGTGCACTAGTATCTCCGAAGACGGATCGGTAGGCACCGACCAAGGCTCCAATATGTGGCAGTGTGTACACGCGGTATACTGCCAGATTTCATCTCCCACAATCTTAAGAAACAGGAACCTGCTCATACGAAATCGTCTCCGAAATTGCTCGTCTGTGTATAGCGGATGCTCATTAAGGTAAAACTTAAAGAAGCGTGTATACTCGGCCTCCAAGTCGCGTGATAAGTTGGCTTTACGTCGTCTGCGCCGTCCGCGCTGTCGCCTTAGTGAACTAATGCGCTGACATCTTCGACGCAGAGACCATTGCAGGCTGGCTACTGTAGATGCGCGGGGATAGTAGAAGTGCATTTTGGAGCTGAAAATGGACGGGGATAGCGAATCTTAGCAGATTTTATGGGTTTATCAGTAGGGACGTGCCTATCACTATCACTTCTTTGGTATTCGAAGCTGGTGTAGTACACAGGATGTGACTCTTTTATGTAAAGTAAAGCGTGTTCTACGCTATTCACTTCGACTAATCACTTTTTGTCTTTGTACTTCCGGTACAGATGCTCGAACAAGGGTAAATAAGCTTTAAATTATTGACTGTTGTGTTGGTGGTTATCCCACCCGCATCGTCTTTTGATGGAGGTGCGGCTCTTCCGATTTCGCGCCATTCTGACTCCGCAGGATCACTTTCAAATTTCGGCGGCTTCCATCCTACTTCCACCCTCATCTCTCCTTTTTTAACCTAATTTTACTATGGTGAATTAAGACTCGCCGTACATCCGCGGATTACAGCTTGTTAAAGCTAGCGTGAAAATACGCAAGGCTGCGAAGAAGATTGGAGCTCCGTTCGAGGGGCGTACGTGGTTGCGCCAAGGGCGAGACCCCCGTCACCTGTCGCCGAGGACCTATGCTGGTGTATCTCTAGTGGCGCTGAACAAGGACTTCTTGAAGTGAGTGAGTCCCGCGCTGCATGCGGCTTTTGTGTTGGTCATGCCGAGCTCCGGTTCCTAATTCGACAGGCGGCCATTGTGTCGTCACTGCGACCTGTGACAGGCTCCTTTCCTAACCGTAGCTCTGTATTGCGCTGGTCACGTAAGCATGAGAACAGCATCACGTTGCGCAAAGCGCGTACCTTGAAGGACGTCGGACTGAAGCTTTAACACCGGAAGCTGTACACTACTACTACTAAATTCTAACGGCTGCTATGAATGAGTTGGAGCTGCATGATCACCCGTCTCAAATCTGGAATTGCGAGGAGACGGGTGTGTGTGTGCTCAAGGACGCTGTCAGCAACGCATCTTCACGCTCAAAGGACAAGCTGATAACGTACAGTGCTCGTCTGATCGGGAAAATGTGAGCATCATGGGCTGTATCAGCGCCGACGGAGGTCGACTCCCGCCAATGTACATGTTTGCTAAAAGCAAGTCATTTGGGCTATTACTTACGCAGCTTTACTGTTTCCTACTCTTGGTGCTCTCTCTCTACCGCGTCGTCACCCCCCCCCCCCCCGTTTCCGTTGTCTCGTCCCCACCGTCACCCTCCTCTTCACGACCCCCTTGTCCTCCCGTCCGCTTTTTTGGTGGGGCCCTCAGCTGGAAACCGCGGCTGTGGGCGCTCGCTTCCATTGCGCCAAAGCTGGTGCCAAATGGAGAAGCAAGTCTGGTTGTTATTTGGATATGTGCTTGGCGCACCTTGTCACACAAGTAGAATCGCGTCACCTGCCGATGTGTACTGCTTGTTTTCCGTATAGTACAGGCCTTGCACTGCCGTTGACGCCGCTTTCGAATTCCATTCACCTCCACCCACTCGTCGTCCATCTTTAGCTGGTGAGTAAACGGTGGAACGTCGCCATGCATTGGCGTAACTGGTCGAGGTGAGTACATCTTTGGACACATACAGAAATAGTTAGCAATGTGAGCAACCAGCAGAATAAGCACCTTCCTTACCGTGTCTGCAAATTCGGCCGACCCCACTTGTAGTAGCTGTGCTTGCAACTGAGAGATGAAACCGGTTCGTTTTAATGTTCCCACAGAATAGACGTTTCTCTCAAGAAGTTGTAGCGGACTTTGTATCTATTAGATTAGACAAATCAGACCCTTATACGATGCGCCAATTGTCAATGATGTCCTTCCAGCGTTCGGCCTCCTCCTTACTTCGTGGAGGTCACTGTCCCCCGCGATGGTTTGTTGTAGAAACTGCGCCAACTGCAGGTGTAGAACTTAGTGGAGCGCCAGTTTGAGGTGCATCTAGTGACAGTTCATCACTCGTCTCCGTGTCGCTCTCGCTTGGGATCTCATCATCCATATCAGCTCCAAAATTACCTTGTCCTCGTCATCGTAATCCGAATCCAATGCACCACCATCATAGATGGCATCATCTTGACGGGAATCGTGACGGGAATAGAGAGGGGGCGGGGTTGTGGGAGCCGTAGTTGTGTGAATAACAGTAGCCATATTCAGTGACCTTGCATAATCAGCAGTAATATACAGCATGCTGTCAGAAATAACTCTCGCACATGCTTTGTATCCATCATGTGACAGCGTACCTGGCAGCCGAAGATCGAGGTGGCGTTAGCGGTGAGGTCTGTTGCGCAGAGGAAGCACCTTCCGATGTCGACATGGGTCCACGATGTGTCTGCGTTGTGTTTGTTGCACATGGCGGAGATGGCGACGTGTTGCTATAGTCCAAATCGCTACCAACAGACGCATCGCTACAAACAATTATGAGCATGAAGTGTGAGAAACACATCGTACGCAAAACGCATAATCTCCTCACCTGACGTCTTCTTCATCAGCAGCAACGTGTGGGCTTGTTGTCCGCGCAGATTTGTCAGCTCTTGAGCTCTTGGATGGTGCGCGCATACGCTTACATTTTGCTTTGGCCTTGCCAGGCGCCTTTACCGGTCTTTTCTTCTTCGCCGCCTTCTTCGGTGTTCTGATCTCTGCCGCTGTCGCCATGTCAAACTCAACGTCGTCATTTCCTTGGTCTTCTCCCGTTTCCACGTAATCTTCGTCTCTGCTGTCACATCCATCCTCATCAGCAGAAACAGCATCGGCAGCAAGCTTTTCTGCATACAGTGCTGCGACTAGCTCCTTCCCTTTCAATCGCGGCGCTCTTGCCAGCCAACTGTAATACCCCACTAGTGCGCCCTTCTTCTGGTACGTAGCTGGAGCAGAAGGCTTGCGTGAAGCCACTGT